GAAGACTCTGCCTTTCTCTGGGTCAGTCTAGCTCCCCAGCGAAGGTGGCTCAGCCCAACCTCGCCAGCTCTGCCCCTCCTCTTCCAACGAGATCTACCCCCTGCCAGAAAAACAGACAGAAAAAAGGAGACGGGAGGATTTGAAGACAAAGAAAAGGGGGGTGGATGTTTAGTGGGCGCCCTCCCCCGCCTCACACCCTTCCCTCCAGAGACATTTCTTCCCTCTTCCCTTCTTTGCTTCCACCTCAATTAGCCCAAAGAAGGATCACCCTCCAGGATTGCGCAGCCTTTAAAACACTTCTTTTGGGGCCATTTTTTAAAATTGAGATATAATCAACATATAACATGACATTAGTGTCAGATGTACAACCTGGTGATTACACATTTGTCTATATTGGGAAATGCCCATCACAATAAGTGTAGTTAACATCCATCGTCACGCAGCTATACAATTTTTTTTCTTGTGATGAGAACTTTTACAGTATTATTAACTATCACCATGCTGTGCATTATTACATCCCCAGGACGTTTTTTTGTGTGTGTGTGGTTTTTTTTGGTAACTGGAAGTTTGAACCTAAAAACACTTCTGAAATGCTTTTCATAAAACTTTTAATCTTCTCAAAATCAGAGGCCTCCCCGCTAAGCCCCCCAAGATGAGGGCAGAGACCTGAAGATGGGCGTGCGGTGGGAGGGAGGGAGATGTGAGTCACAGAGGGCTAGGTGAGCAGGACAGGGTTCGTGAAAAATGGCAGAGAAAAATGAGGACAGTCAGAGTGGAATGAGGAGAAGAGAAGATATATAACAGACAGGGGCTGGAGGGAATGGAATACGGGAGACGGCTGATTGAATCGATCCATCTCTCTGAGACCAGCCCCGCACAAGGTCCAAGGTCCGCTGGGCTGCCCCCAAAATGACTCAGCTCCCCCAGCCCTCCCTCTCTGAGCTCCCACGTTGTTTCTCGGCTACCTGCACTTACTCGGCTACATTTCCTGCCTCCCTTTCTAGATCAGGGGCTATTGGAAAGCAAGGAATCTGCCTATTTTATCTTTGTACCCCTAGGGAAATATCATGCTGACTTATACACTTTAAGACATTCAATGCATACTGTTAATGAATGAATGAATGAACCAAAACAGGTTATATTGACAATGCACTAGAATTAGTTTCTACAAAAACCTTTTAAGGCAGGCAGGCCTTATTAAGATCTTAAGAAATTGAGAGAAAACTTTTCTCTGGCCCACAAAAAAAGTAGTTCACCCTGTTTCAAATATTAAATTTCCTTGAACTAAACCACAGGAAAATAATTAAAAGTTCTTTCAGCTAAAATGTTTTCTTTTTTAAATATATTTTCAAATGTTCTGCTCATCCTTCCAGAGTCTATTAATGGAATGTGGAAAATCAACCCCCAAGATGAAGAAGTTTCTTTCTTCCTGGAACCATGACTCAACAATACAAATATTCAAAACCGTCAAAGAAAGGAAAGAGCCTTCTTTGAACGATTTCACTTCCTTGTTATTTACTGAGGTTGCCAGGGTTTGCAATACCACCACTTTCACGAAGAATTGGAGTTTGACCACAGAAGGGCTTGAACTAGCTCATCAGGGTGGGTTTTACATTCACCACAGTCAGTACAGACAAGACATGACCAGACCCTGAGTAATAATCATTGAAGACCTAACAGCAAAATATTCTTTAAAATTTGTGAAAGTGCTAAACATGAGTTTGTAAACATGCTAAAATCTGCCTCCTACATTAGTTTTGTTCCAGAGACTAAGGATTTGTTCTAGCTGCAGAGAAAGTAAACATGCAATTACAATTACATAAAACTAAGCCAGCTAATTGGGCACTGAAAAAATAAAAACTTCCCTTGTCTTTTTTTGAATGACTGTTCATCCCAGAAATGCTCCATTGTGATAGTAAGACTCATGTTCCTAAGCTTTTGACAGACTCGATAAACAAAACAGATTTAGGGGAAAGAGGTGACCATCTGCCCAGAGTTTTCTGAACTTTCGGTAAAGAAGATGAATGAAAGTATCCTTAATTATGCTAGCAGGGTTGCATCTCAATACCCAGATGTCCTAGAGCTGGGATCGGCCACTTAAAATTCCATTCGAAGAATCTGACTGTGTGGCAGAACCTTAGAAAGTGACATTACATCAGACTTAATACTTCAAATATTGTCACTCATCAGATGATGACCTATCAGGACTGGCACAGGACAGAAGATGAAGTGACCTCTCTAAATCTTTCTTTGTCACTGCCGATGACCATACCTGACATGCTCTTAAGAAATACAGGAATGAGAGGGATGTGACAAGCTCTCAGCTGGATTTCTCTACAGTCTTCTCACTTGATCCGACCAGGTGTCCGATACAGGCACACCATGGTCACTTCAGTTAATGCCTTTGTAAGCTGCTTCCCTACTCAGGGTGCACAGGCCCTTTCCTATTTACCCACATTTTGCCCAATACCCTCAGGTAAGGAGCTGGTCACATAGTCAGGGGTTCATCCCTCTGGTTCTGTAGTCAGCAGAGGTGGGTCTTAATTCCAGCTATTTTGTAGCTCAGGAGCCTACTGAGGTGCAGAAAAATTAATTTATCTACACAATGATTTACATTAAGAGCAGAGTGAGGGCATAAATTTTAGTCTCTGATGAAACCAAATGATGCCTTTTTTCTATTAATAATAACAACAGAAAACCCCATTTGCTAACAATCTTTAGAGAGCAATTTATAGGATATTAAGAGTTTTCACGTGCATTTTCTCACCTGATTCTTACAATATCCCTGCGACTTAGGTAAGTGGCTACATCTCCATCTTATTAGTAAGGAAACTGAGGCCTAGGCTGTTTGGGTGGCAACCTGCCAGGCAAGGGGGCCCAGCACAGCGGCTGTGAGCCCAGATCCTGCAGTGAGGCTGTCTGGGTGCGGACCCTGCATCTACCAGCTGGTGTCTGTGTGACTTTGAAAGGCAATTTAATCTATTTCTTCTCAGTTCCTTGCGTGTAAAAGGAGTTCACCTCCCTGGGTTGTTGAGATGCTTAAATGAGCTTATACAGAATATTTGGACCCAGTAACTGATGCATGGTGAGCTCTAAGGTTGGTATTAACCTTATTAAGCGCCCAGTGGGAGACAGAGCTTGGACTAGTTTTATAAATAGAAGTGCAGTGACTCAATCACTGGCCCTAGCAAACCCTCATTTTAGCTCATAACTCTGATAATATATGACATCAAATCATTAGTATTGAAATAAAACCAGTGAGTAAAATAATTATTGGAATATATTTTGGATCCTGTGAGATAATAGCTTGAGAGAAAAAAAAGAATTATTGCAAGTATGCCAGTGGTTTTCTGATTAGACTTACCTTGTTTGCCTTTCCCAGCTTCCACATAGGGAGTAAGAAATAAGGGCTGTCCTGTGTCTTGCGTATGTGGCGCGGAAACCCAGGCATTTTTGTATATGTGGCGAAACAGCCCATCACCACCAGGGCAAAGTGTCAGCAGGGCCAGCAAAACAGTCGCCTTCCACATGGCACCAACCATTCCCTCTAGGCCTAGGATGAAAACAGCAGCATTCCACAGATGAATCAAAGAGTAAGCATTCCCCTAGCCCTTTAACATGCAAGAAAATCATTTATTCACTCAAAAAAATTGTGTGTGAATGCCCTTTGCTAAGCACCTTGGATACCACTTAAATAAAACAGGCCCAATCCTTGCTCACCCTGAAATTAACAGTCTAATGGAGGGTTTCTCAAGGGATTTACTATGTAACTGGAGAAACAGTTTCTATTTCTAAAACCATGGTCTGGAAAGTAAATTCAATGCAGGATTAAAGCCTCAAGGCAACAAGGGCTCTGTAATGGATCACCAAGTGAGTGGTAGTGACAGTTTATCCACTACAGGAGGGCAGGGGATGGAGAACACATTTCAGGCCCAGAGCCTAGGAAAGCCTTAGCAAGGTCGGATGTGAATGAAAGGTGGGTGGAACTCAACCAGGCAGGAGAGACGGCAGACATCGCGGGTGGGGAGATGAGAGTGAGCAAAGGTGAGACCTCAGTGGTCCATTGGGTATTTTGCAGGGAAATTTAAAATAAACAAAATGGATTTCTGGTCCCTCTGCTATCTCTTACAAAATCAGTAAACTTTGGCCCGGCCGGTGTGGCTCAGTGGTTGTGTGTCGACCTATGAACCAGGAGGTCTTGGTTCAATTCCCTGGTCAGGGCACATGTCTGGGTTTCTCTCCCTCTCCCTTCCTCTCTCTGAAATCAATAAAAACATATTTAAAAGAAAAATCGGTAAACTTTGCATCCAAGAACGAAAAAGAAAGAGAGAGGGAAGATTCTACAACTATCTTTAGGTCCCTGCCTCTATAGCTCCCTGATAAATAAACTCAAGGGTTAGGCCTTACATTTTATTAACACAAAGCCTTCCAAGGACATTCAAATCTGATGTTTGCTTAGCGTGTTCATCTGGGCTGATAATAACAATGGCTTAAAATTGGGTTGTGATTCCCCTAACTTGTACACAAACATGTAAATCGTATTTACAATAGGCTTTCCCTTTTTTTTAGCGGATTGCAATCTCTTAATAACTCAACCATAGGAAATCGAGGATTATTATCACCAGTGTTAGATAAGATAACTAGACTCAAAGGAGTACCTCTCACAAGGCACGAAAGTGGAGAAATCAGGACTAGAATTGGCCAGGGCCAGGGCCAGCGCCAGGGTCAGGTGAGTCAGGTGGAGATGCAGGGTCAAATCTAATATTTTTTTCTGTAATTCTGACATTTTGTTCACCATGGAGTTTTTGGGCATTAATTTTGGTTCTTTTCAGATTAAAAGTTAAAATACTATTTATCTCAATTACTGAGTTCTTCGGGGACTGTTAAATTTTACACCCCAGGCAGGTGCTCACTTGCTGCACCTCAGTTCTGACCCTGCGAGTATTCTGAGGCCTATCTCAGGGCTGGTACACTATTCAGCATCATTGCTATTTCAGCGTGATCCAGGCTCTCAGCTCTAACATCTAAGTAAAGTATAGGAACGAAATGAACACATACTCCACTCACTCAGATTACTGGATGCAAAAAGAAACAGGCAAGTATGCAAATACGATTCCTTCTTTTTGGTGTTTAAAAATACCAAACCATTAAAAGGTCTTCAAACTGCAAAATGTGTAAAAATCTATGAACTGCCTGCTTATCACAACTCAGTTTGGCATAGTATGAAAATACTGCTTGTAGCAAATTTTAAAAGCTTTTCAGTCACATTTCCCCAATAAGATAAAAATTTCTAAGTATAATTGGGCTGAATATATAATCCTTGTAAAGTCTTTCATGGTTAACTTAATAGAATTCCCTGCACTTAATGCAAACAAGCTCAATCATATACAGTATGTAGCTAAACAAATGTTTTTGCCTATTATTGACTATACTAAAGAGCAAGATGAATTTAGAAACTGAAATTAGGTTCCCACGAAGCCCAAGGGTAATGACCACTATGGCACTAATAAAGTATTTTTAAAAATTATGTGAACTTGTTATGCTGATGTTTTAATAACATTTACTTTCAAGGAATGCTTGAAATCAACAATCTTACTCTAAACGATTCAGGGGGGAAAAAAATCTTTGGTATTAAAAACATACTGGAAGAAGCTTTTCCAGTAAAAGGTTTTTTTCCTGGGGGCAGAAACAAGAGACTAATGAAGCCATCTAATTTCTCAGTCTTCCTGCTGCAAACCTCCAGACCCCTTTAATGGAAGCCATTAATATTTAAATAACCAGGGTAGTTACAGAATTTCCCTTGTAAGCAGATGTTGACTCAAAGATGTTAAAGCAAGGTAAAATCGGTTTTATATTCATCGACATATCTAATTCATAAAAGTAAGATTGGGTTAATGTAGTAGATCTCATTAACATGCAATCAAACAACCGGTAGAGTCCTGGTTTCCCCCACAGATGAATTAAGGCAACGTTTTCATGACACAGTTTTCAATGAACAGTCAGAATTCCTGAAGTGTGTAAGCTGTCATCCCGCCTAATGAAAGGAAAGCTCTTATGGATGGAAAAGTCTTTTTTTCCTTAACATCCTTCTGAAATGTTTTTGCTTACCCTAAACGAGCCTGAATCTTTTTTACTTGTTGAACATTTATTGAGTACTTTCTAAAAGAATAAACCCTGTACCGGCAGCTACTACCCACAGAAAGTGAAAGCCAAAGGTACTCACCATCCACTTTACCGTACGTCTATCTGAAAGAACATGAACCATTGGCACGATTTCCAGCTCAAATATATCCTATGGAAGGATTCGGACAAACTGTTCCTCTTAATAAATGTTTAGAAACAGAATAAAATCTAGGCAAATAGAAAGGAATACTGGCAGGAGCAAATAAGCTAAAGGTCAAAAGTATAAAATCTGCTAAAACTGTCTTACTAAACCTTAAACATTACAGTTAGAAACTGTGTCCAATGTTCAATTTTTTATATAAACAAAGTTATTCATCACGGAGTTTATAGAATAATAAAAAGTCAAAAATGTAAACAATTTAAGATAAGTAAGTTTCTGTACACTGGAAAGATAAAATTATATACAGCCATTAATATGACTATGATAATGCTTGGAAAAATATACCCAAATATTAGATAAAGAAAAGCAGTCTATTAAATTGGACATGTGGTATTTTCTCCTTATATAATACTTCTTAAGAATTTCTAAAACTTCTACAATAATTAATCTTATAATCAGAAAAAGAAAGGGTTTTTGGTTTTGACGACAAAAAGAAGGAACTGATAGACATGGCAGAAAAAATGCATGCTTCCTGCGCTTTATCACTACCTGGTTATGACCTCTCGGGTTTCCTAGGAGCACGGTTCCATCTGTTGTCTCCTAACAGATCCTTCTTTCTCTAACATTCTGAGAAGACGGCTCCTGATCTCCACAGCCGTGGAACCCCAGAGACTCAGGGTACACTTTCTCCTTGGTAAATTAGAAGGCTCTGCGTAAATGGGAGCTGTTATAATAATGGTTGCTGTGCTTACATTTGTATTTAATTCTGCCTGAAGTGGAGTCCATAACAGATGTGCATATAATTGGTACGAAGCAAATATTTGTTGAACGGATGGATCCAAAAAGTGAATCATGATTTTTAGACCTAGATGAGACAATACATGTTCACATGGCCCAATTCTTTCATCTTACAGACCAGAGAACTGAAGCCAGAGTATTAAGTAAGTGACTTGCTTAAGATTACTCCACTGGTGAGCAGTAGGCCAAGCAAGACTCGAAGCCAGGGTTTGTTTATGGCTCTAAATCCAATCTGCATTCCACTCTCCAGTCTTTGGTCACAATTACATTCAGATATTCTGATTCTTATTGTCTCGATAGATAATAACAGCGGTAATGGTTCTAGACCCTTCCATAGACCAGTAGAGGGTAGAGTAAAATAAATAAACAAATAAAAAGAAACATCAATAAGTAAATCTTTCTAGAGAGATTTGGTTTTCAGAAACAGTTCATACTAATCCAGGTTCTGCCATGACTGACTCAGTGGACCTTGGCCAAGACCATGACATCTCTGGGTCCCAGTCAGTGTGTCAGAATCAACTATTAGATTCACAGGAACTTTGAGAACCAGTTGTTCAACATGGCCATTGTGACAGATTAAACTATAAAAATTTACCATTAAATAAGTTGTATTGGAAAAAAATGTAATAAATACTCAAAACTCGTCACTTCTGAATTATTTTACTGTTATCAGTGTTCTGAGTTAAGTTTTTTGTACTTGTCTGGTGGACGGATTACATAACAGTTTGCTACCCTGCATTTCTTTTCAGCTCTAGCTTTCAGGTCTGTTGACAGCTTGCAGTCAGCCATGGTGGGAATATTTACACCATGGGCAGCAGCAAACACCACAAATCAGGGCTTTCCTGCCCCCAGAGAGACGGTTGTTGAATATATACTTGCACATGATAGTCTCATGTTCCTTATCTGAAAAATAAGCTGGGAACCGCTTTCTATCAATTCACATTTTAGTTCCAACTGAAATGACCAGTGGAAGAGATAAAAGGGAAATCCTGCCGAGTTGCCATCTGCGCACGTTGTTGGAAGCAACCAACAATATGCTTAGATATGTGAGGCCTCCAAGAAAGGAACCCGACACTGGAAGGTGTGTGTTCCACCAACGAGAATGAAACAAAAACTCCAGAATGAGGAGAGAAACTGGAGCCAACAGTTCAAGCAGCCCTGTGTTCCCTTCATCTCTCCTTCCAACTCCTCCCTTTTATATTATAGATTATTCCAATTTCAGGATAAAAATCGTTTATGTAATAATCATTATAGCTGCAATTCAAACAGTTATTTGCGTCCCCCTTACATATTTAACTGGCTCAAATAGCTCCCAGCATAATAAGATCATTTCCCAAAACAAACAAAAATAGGCCAACTAGCTACAGATATTTCCATGAAATCTGCAATAAATAAAAAAGTACACAAAAGTGGTTCCTTTATTTAAAAAAGACTCAGTCACCTCTCAAGATAATTCATGCA